AATGGTGATTGCCAGGGGATGAGGGAAAAGAGGAGTGGGGAACTAGTGTTTTGTTTAATGGGTGGGGTTTCTATTTGGGAAGACAAAAAAGTCTTGGAGGTAGATGGTGGTGATGGATGTAGAATGTAAATGTACATAATGCCACAAAGCTGTACTCTTAGAAGTAATTAAAATGGTAAACTTTCTATTATGTATATTTTACCACACACACACACACACACACACACACACACACACACACACAAGAATAGCTGGTCTAGACAACCTTGATGTTTTGCTTCAGGCTGTTGCCTTGACTGTGCAGGTTATGATATAGATTCTTTTCTCAAAAAAGAATCAAATAAGTGATATACAACTGTGGAATACTGCCATTATATAAGGAATAGAAAATAAAATACAAAATATGCCCTTCTAAAATATGAATAATAGTGAAAGGGAATATAAGGGAAGGGAGAAGAAATGTGTGGGAAATATCAGAAAGGGAGACAGAACATAAAGACTCCTAACGCTGGGAAACGAACTAGGGGTGGTGGAAGGGGAGGAGGGCGGGGGGTGGGGGTGAGTGGGTGACGGGCACTGAGGGGGACACTTGACAGGATGAGCACTGGGTGTTATTCTGTATGTTGGTAAATTGAACACCAATAAAAAATAATTTATTAAAAAAATATGCCCTTCTAACTATTACAAACACCTGAATCAAATATGAAGTAATGTCTTAAAACTCTCTTCATTATAGATTTTCAAAATTTTCTCAGATAATAATGTTACTTTCATATTCCATATAGAAATAGACTATAGATATGTCTAATTCTCTGTAGCCACAGTAGTGATCAAGTCATAGAATTAGAATCAAGGGAAAATCCTGCTTTCTGTGTGGGCTGGGAATGTGTCTATTCATTGTTCTTTCTTAGACAGTTGTGCTCCAGGTCATCCATTTCTCTTCCCCTACTCCAGATCTATACTCATATTCGTATTTATTTTTTCATTTATCAATATTTTGTGAAAGTTTTCCATGTGTCAAGGCCTAACTGACAGTTTTCCTGTCTGTATATGCTCTTCAGAAACCCACCCAATTGAGTTTAAAATCTAATCTGGCCTCTTAAACCCCTTGGAAAGGTCTCTTCTAGGGTGGAATATTGCTTACATGAACACACATTAGAATTGAACCCAGAAAAATTAAGTGTTGGATGATGAGGCTTAAGATGAACATTTTTCCTTGATTTATTTATATTATATAATGAAAAAGAAACCTCAATCCTATTCAGAATGCTTCTATTTTTAATCCCAAAAATTATACTGAATGACAAAACTCAACCTTCTTTTAATACCTCATGAAGATACCCTGATCAAAACCAGATGGTTCAAGGACACATCAGCAAGTTTCTTCCTATGGCTGTGGTAGATGATTCTCTGAAAGTCTTGAAGAAAAAAAAAATCATCCTAATTCTGTTCTTGGGGTATGACTTGGGAGACTCAATACATCAAGTAGATGTTCTGTTGCCAGAATGGACCCAAAGGTGATTCTTGAGGGAAATGCTGACTCAACTCCAGGAATTTCTGACCTTGCCTTTAGGTATTGGGGGGATGCCCATATTGCTGAGATCAAAATCTGTGATCATCTTCTTAATCTACAGATTAGGGATTAACCTTATTTTATAAACTTTTACGTGATTGGTTGTCTATTACCTGTGGGCCCATATTTAAGCAGCAACTGAGAATAGTAACATGATAGGTCATCTTTAGAGAACAGAGAGCCTCAAAAGATCAGCTCCTCAACTTCCAGTTTCCAGCTTAGATAATTAATATTTATGGAAGATGACCCAAAAAATATGTCTCCCCTTTTTCAGCCACTTTTAATTCTTTTCTTCTATCAAGCTGAGTATCTTTCAAAGGCCTATACTGCCTCAGTCCATCACAGAATTCCTATGACTGAGTTGGATTTTTAAAATTATGCCTCTAAGTTATAGTTTCTATGAGAATTAAGATTTTAATAAGTATGGTCAAAGACATTGTCTAATAAAATCTTCTTTATAAAATATCCCTGGGAATCAGTTTTGGGATAGCTCTGCTTTGCCCTGGAACCTGGTATGCTGGGCATAATGAAAACTATGTATCTGATTATGTCTTCTTTTCTCCCTTGGCTACTAGGAAGCAAACGCGCGCACGGCGCACACACACGCACAAAGTACATGTATACATGTGGAAACAAACAAGTTTTTAATGTTCTTTAATTCCAATTCCCTCTTGAATTTGTTTTATATTATTTCTTGTTTATATAAATGATACAATGTGATCTTTTAAAAATTTCCTAAATTACCTCATAATTCCCCCACAGATGTTCCCTCTTCCTTTTGTGTGTTTCTAATTTGCCTACAAATTGGATTCTGTCTAGCAACCAATGTAACTAAAGTGAGAAAAACATTGACAGCTTTTAATACTCTATATACAGAGTAAGAATTAAATCACCAGTGCTGAATGCAACTGTGGTAAACATTCCTTCCCTGCAAATTCTCTGAGGCTTGAGAATACCCAGGCTAATTGGTCCTGGAAATAATTGGAACACAACTGGATTTTTGTGTGGCAAATAGTTATGCTTTCAGATGCAGGACTGGGCAGTGGTAACTTCTGCAGGTATAACAGCCTTTTTTCTAGGACTTTTTTCTAGGACTGTTAGGAGAAAGAATTAACCTTACTAAGGGCCCACCTGGTGCTAGGGTATATTAGTTTTTTGCTACTGTCAGTGATATGCTAGAGGTGGCTCTTACCCATTCACAAGAACTAACTATTAAAATTTCAAGAGTTTTGTGAGCCAGCTGATGTTATGTTGATTAAGCTAAAACATGGTATGAGTACTTATACCATGTAAACTGGCAAATGCCACAAGCCAGCCCCTACATCCCCAGAGAGCTGGTTGTGAGACATTTACCAGTCCATTACCGCTTGTCTGGCTTATCACTTATAACTAGCAAGGAGATAGGCATTTCTGTCCTCATTTTATAAGTGAGGAAACAGACCAAAAAAAAAAAAATCTGTAGGCTTTAGGGAGAAGTTAACAATGGTGAAAAAAAAATTCTGTAACAGAAACTGCCAATGCAGGAATAGGTACAGATACAGTGCTAACTCTAAGGGCTATATTCAGATGAGAAAGGTCCTATTCGGAGAAAAGCAATGAGCTAATCTAAGAAGATTGCCAAATTGAGGTTCAGAAGGCTGTGAGGAGAACAATTTCAGTGAGGGACTAAGAGACCAAACAAAAAGGGGAGCACAAGTCTCCTCCACCCCTTCCAACTCCACAGCTCCCTACCTAGGTTGGAGGAATCACATTCAAAGGCAAGAAATTTCACTACCACCATCTTCAAGTAGAAAGGGTTTGCTCAAGCTTGAAGACAAGAATTGGACCATTTCTCAGGAGGTGAAGCTTTCAGAAAAGTTAAAAAGTCAAAACACAATGGCCTATTTCTTTTCTTCAGATGTACTTTGTACCGTGACTGGAATGAAAAGTGCCCTTGGCTGTCCCCAGCAGCCCTAGCCACCTCCCTCCCTTCTGTGGCCCCCTCTTTTATCTTCTAGCACTTAGATCCAAGGCAAGGGCGTTGGCCTAAAAAAAGTCCAATACGGCCTGCCAATGCCAGCTCAGCTATAGGGCATCCAGGAGAGGTTCTAGTTTGTTCTGAATTTAGGTTTGGAGCTAACTTATCACCAGGTATTACTCTGCCAGGCATTGTCCTGGCATGTTATTTCCCTCAGAAACCTTGAAGGGAGGAGGAACTGTGGTCTGGGCCATAGTTAAGGTAAGCCTGGATCCACTGCCCATTGTTGTTTTCCCAGCAATCATGGGAATGAAGAGCTCATATAATTTGCATGTGGCAAAACCAGAATTTAAAGCTGGTACGTTTCCTACAGGGTCTGTTCTCTATGCAGGGAGCTCTTTCTGTGACATTGGGCTGAGCCAGAAAGCCTTGGGAGAAACTCTCCTGCTGGGGTTCCATAGGAGAGTTGAACACCTCCCTTCTCACATGCTGATCTGTTTTCTGAAAAAGGGAGAAAGAGTGTGAAGGCAGACAAAAGTCCTTGCTTCTATGCATGATATCTTAAGTAATTAATGAGATAATGTATATACAGTAAATAGTCAATAACTGGCTCTTCATTGATGGTAGCTAATTTTGCAGCATACTACTGAACTACAACTATAATAATGCTTTGTCTGTAGGACCAAAATATGAAATTTGAATTATGAGCAGATTAAGGGGCACCTCTTCTACCTCTGCTCAAATATTTTACCTTATTCTAGAGTAATTAAGAAGGAAGCAGAGCTGGGATTCAAATAGTCCCCCAGCTGTTCAAAATGTAATGCAAATGATGCTATCTTCATTTCCTTGAGATTTCTTGAGTTTCTACTTCAGTTTATAGAGGAAAGCCTTTAACCAAGACATTTGCCTCTTCTCCTGCCTCCTGCTGACATTAAGAAGCCAACAATGGCGGATCCCAGTGTGTGTGCCTCCCTGATAGCCAGCCCCTTCTTCTGGCCTAGAGATTCCTAGTTTTACCCATGTAGAGGAAAGCAATATGTGTAGGAAAGGGATGAACAATTATTAGTCTAAACCAAACGTAGTAGTCCATTCCCCTTTATCACAGATTAGAAGTGTGTATTTAACTAAATTCTGGCCAATGGCATCTGAAAAGACATTTGTTGGCACTTCTGCAAAAATGGACAGAAATGTATACAAGGGAAACTTCCTTCTTTTTTTTTTTTTCATGAAAAAAGCAATGAAGCAGTAGCTTCCATGTTAGCACCACAAAAAAGGCCAACAAGATAATGGAAAAGCTGATCCCAAGTCCTGACATTGCTAAACCAAAGAATTAACCCTGGATTATCTATCTCAAGGCTTATTATATGAGAGAAAAATAAATCTGATTATTTAAACCCTTTGTAGGCATATACTCTATAACTTGTAACTCAAATCATCTACCCAATATACCTTATTATTTTACAAACTTACCCCAAAATCCCCATGAGGTGGTGGCAAGAAAATCCCATTGAAGGAACATTGGGAGTAAGGGCAGTAACTGGTGTTGAAGAGTTCAAGGATGCTTTGCTGGCATTGCTGATAGTTTCCAGTGCCCTGGATTTGAAACTGACTGAATGGATGAATCATTGCAAATCTCCTGGTGCAGGGGCTACTGTAGAGGTCACTTACATTCATTACTGTCTCATATCCAGGGTGAAAGCATGGGTCCCTGAGGATTCCATCTGTACCCTGAATGGAAAAATCATTTGAAAAAATCATGTGCAAATGCATTGGGTACAAAAAGCACCACTCTGACTCCATTAATTTGTAGGAATTTTATAATATCATAGCTCTGGCATCAGTATGCCCTAGACATGCCTTTTCCACCCTTGGGAATAGTCATATGTATATAATAGGCAACAGAAATGGTATCAGATGTAAATGAACTTTCGCTATTCATAGAAAGCTAATAGAGTTCAAGCTGGCAGAAATGCCGTTAGTTTGGAATGTTCCCTGGCACTTAGCACAAATGAAATACATAAGTCAGAAGCAGATTCATAAGGAAAACTCTCAAGGCTCTCAAAGTCTGAGCCTGGGGTAGTTCTCAAGGAAGAGTCTGCCTGTATCCTGTCCCCACCTCCAAGCAAAAAATAAGAAGCTCTAGGAGTTGAAAGTGCCTTAGATCATTTAAGCCAGGAGTATCAAAATGATTTTTAACCCACAACCCAATATGTAAAAGAGAAGGGGGCTGCTGTAGATAAAAGGCTTAGTGGAGCCTTGGGGTTCAGTAGGTGTCTCTCAATATCCCCTATTCCAATGGGAGCCACCTATTAACAGTGCTTCCAAGAACCAGAGCAAGAGCTTTGGCGGAGAGCAGAGAACTGGTTGTCCTTTCAGTGGAGAAAGGGAACAGCTGGATGTGACATCCTTGCTCGTGTGTGTTTGTCAGGGTGTGCCTGGTACTCACATGATTTTGAGTATGTTTAGCTTTTCTTTAAAAAAAAAAAAAAACAACTTGTCTTCAGAAGACAGAAAGCATCTGGGGACAAGACACGAAGTGTTGATGGATAAACTCTGTTTTCCCTCAGTGTTTTCCTTCTCCCCTACAGGTTCTTTCTAACAATGCTGTTTTGTGCGGTTTGTAGGAAATGGAGACTAAAAAGTGCTAAAAAACTTATAAATTACACACCTCTCCAAACAATACTCTAGCATATAATTTTCACTGTCAAGCCCACAGGGGTGAGAAATTACTTGCAAGACAGGGTTTGAGTTGTGTCCTTGGAGACAGTGCAGTAAACAAACAGGAGGTGATGTCTGGATGGGACGATTGACAGGGGTTGACCACATGGAGTTAGATATCCTGCTTGAAAAGCTTTGGAAAGTACAGTAACCAAGTTCAGACCAATTACTGAAGTAGAAAGAGAACAACAGGATGTGGGGGCTGGTGGCCCAGATGTGGGGAGGGTGGGTCTGGATTCAGTTATACTTGCCCGAATGTCCTTGGCCAGTTTCTGCCTGAGTGCTTGATCCTTCCCATAGCACAAGAAGCTGTGCGTGTACACGCTGTAGTCCCTGCCATAGAGGCGAAAGTGCAGAGCATTGCTTGGAGACTCAATATTCTTGTTTTGGGGTACAAAAGTGATTTGTGTAGAGGCTCCCCCAAGGTCTAAAGCCCCGAAGGTTTCCTGAGCACCGTTTTCATTTGGCCTCAGGTAGAGCCAACTCAATTTCTGAAAGAGAGTACAGTCACCAGTGGCAGCAGTCTCCAGACCCCTGTTTCACACTCTATCTTAGACTTGGGGACTTCCTGAAGGTGAAGTAAAGGGGGCATAAAGTGACACTAAGCTCACTGGATACTCCTGAGTCTGCATCACACCAACCGTGAGAAAATAGGGGCTTTGACGATAGAGCTCAGACTGCAGGAACATAGAAGTGGCATAGCCAGTGTTTATGAACAAGGAGTCTGGGCAGAAGAGATGCAACTTCAAATCTCCACTCATTTGTTCCTTAGCCATGTGATCCTGAGCAGAATAATTCCCTTCTTTAGGTCTCAATTTGAGACTTGTAAATGAGAAAATGCCTCATGTAGTTGTTCTGAAGATGAAATCAGACAGTATATGAAAAGTGCTTAGCACAGCACAAGACACATAGCTCTAGGCAAATATTAGCTATTATTTTTAGTGATAGATTTTTAATTTCCTCTATGTCTCTCTATGGTAAAGATATGATTTCCTTATTCTCCAATAGGAAGAATCCTTGTAATAAAATTCACCAGAATACCTCTGGTGACCCTCTGGCAGGCATAAGTTAATTTGTCCATTCATCCAGCATTCGTTCTAGCTACAGATCCAAAACTGCCTGAGACAGCAATGGCATTGACCCCCAGGGAGTCGCCTCCCTGGGTGCTACAAGATAATCACCTGAGTGAATTTGCCCAGCAGATAGTTGATAGTAATCCAGCCATAGGCACCTTCTTCTTGGCCAGTGATGATTCTGGCACCCTGGAAGTCAAAGTGGTAGCTGCTGAGGCTTTTTGTCACTGCAGCTAAGACCTTGTCTGCCAGCTGTGCATCTTCTATCCTGCACAAAGGAAGAGTTGAGTTTACCAGTTTTGTTTGAATGATTACAAGTATTCATTTCAGTCACAGCTTACAGCAGTTCTCCTAGAAAGCAAATCATAACTCACTGGAATAAACAGAGATGGAGATGCCCCCACATGGCTGTCTGAGGAGCTCTGCTTTTGGGTGAGGCCGAACTAGCCTTTGGCCACCCTCTCCAAATCCAAATCCTTCCAGTCCCTACATAGGCTGCTCTTCCTAAAATACCATTTTTGTTTTTGCTCCCTGACTCTAAAATATTATCAAAGTAATTTTCATTTTTGGAGTGGTTGTGGATGGATATTATTTAATCACCACACCTAGAGATGATGAATGCTACATTAGCCATCGCTGGATGGCTTCCAGCTGGTTCCAGAGTCAGGCTCTGCTTGAAGTTTTTAATTATAGCTGTAGTAGATATCAGGGTGGCAAATGTCCTGGGACAGATACCCAACCTCCGCTGGGGTCAGACTGGGAAAATGTCTTCCTCATATTGTACCTCAGTTCTTGGGTCTGTCTGAGATGTTGAGACCTAGAGGAATGTTCCGGGTTTGTCATAATGACAATGGGGTGCAACTGCTTCCAAGATCTAGGCTACACAACACTGAGAGCCTCTAGGTCAGAGAATGCCATCTTCCAACCAGTACTGAATCCTCTCACTACTCATCTGAATAGCTTCACACCCTACCCCCTGGCTGCCTTATCCCCAGTTTTCTTTCCCCACCCCCCCAATCCACTTGTCTCCCAGTGTCACCATTTGTGTACCATCCTGTAATGGCTTCCCATAATCTCTCAGATGAACACCAAATTCCCACTGTGGCCCAGAAGGCACTCTGCGAGCCAGACCCTGTCTCTTCGGAATTCCACTCAGAATCCTGGCTCTACCACATACCAAGCATGTGATCTTTGGGTGACTTACTCAACATTTGTAAGCCACAGCTTCTGTATCTGGTTAAGAATAGTTAATAATGCCTCTTCATAAGAATTATGATGACTAAATTAAAGGACAGTGCTAACAACATATTAAGGACTCAACAAATACAAGCTGCTTCATTCTTATTATTTTACTATATGCATCCTATGTTCTGTCTATGCAGAACTACTTATAGTCTTCTGAATATACCCTGGTCTCTCACTCATCCCTGCCTTTGCACAAATATTAGAACACAAGCTTCTGGAAGACAGGGACTTTGTCCTCCTCTATCCCCAGCACTCAGAACAGTGTCTGCCATATAAGAGGTGCTGAAGAAACATAGGTAATGGAATGCATGACATCTTCTCTGCCTCTAACATGCTTTTCCCCTGCCCTCCAATCATCCTTTATGACTCAGCTCATGTGTTCTCTCTTCCCATTCTGGACAGGGCCAAGTATGCTCCCATAGCAGCTCTGAGCACTCTTCTGTTAAAAAACTGATGACCTGTATCAAAACTCTGATCTCCTTGAGTTCATGTCCTAGAACAGAGTAAGCAGCAAATACAAGCTGAATGAATGAATGAATGAACGAACAAATACTGCACACAGGTACTAAGTGGTGACCAATGAAGATGTGCTAATTGTGATTATCTGTGTCTTGGAACATCTGTGGGTCTCCTCTGGCCTTTCTCTTCCCAGATAATGGATGGCTACATTGGTAGCCTCAAATCCCGGAGTACATAGACTCAACATTTCTCTTTGAGCCTCTACCCCCCTTAAATTCTCTGCGGGGAGATGGGCAAGAGGACTTTTTTTTTTTTACATATGTAAACTCCCACCATTACACACACTAAGAGTTTCAGAGTTTTATGCACTTACTGAGATTTTCTTTCTGAAATGTTGACATTTAGGAGGTTTAGAATTTGGAGTATTAGGGAAGTGTGGTGCTGTCCCATAACTTCAGAGGCTCTTGCACTACCCAGCCTAACCCCCAGACACTCGTCTTCACATGCTGCTATACCTGAGCAACCGCATGCCTGCCGTAGCTCCCAGGTAAACAGGGGTCTCTTCATGTTGGGACTTTGGAATCACCTGACTGGCTCTTACCATGCATTCAGTCAGATAAATGTCTATTTCATTTAATTTGTGAGCATATCTTGAGATTCCAGGACCTAAGGAAAGATGCAGAAGCAGATGACAATCTTTTTTAAAAGTACAGGACACACCTTGACAACATTAGAGCAAAATACTGTTGTTTTCTGAGAAAATCGAAGAAGACAGTTTCTTGATGTGATGTATATTAGGTTGCTGTACTTAAGAGGGTAACTCTCTGAACCTGACCTTGGTAGGATCTAGTTTCAGACCTTAGGCTGGGTGTGTCCACTGTTCAATAACTTTGCCGCTGGATGGCGCAATTTTCACATTCAATTGCATAACCTCCCTAACAGGTTCTCTCACGTTTTAAGAGGGATAACTAGAATTTAAATAAAAAATTGAATTTAAAAAACTTAATGGGGATCTTATAGATAGCTACCCTCTACATTTGCTTTTTGACGTTTCTTCTACAAAATTGTAACTAACAACAATTCCTAGAAGACATAAAACGAGAAATAAGACACTTAGAACAAAAATTGAAATAATCACCAGGCACACGGGCTTGTACTAAAAAAGACAGGAACTGCTGCTAACTAATTGTGTGATCATGGCCAGTCCCCTAAAATTTCTGAAGCGGAGTTTCTTCCTTTCTTAGAATAAACAGGTGTAGAATCCGTGACTGCTTAGCAGTTTTTCCACTCTGAAAATCATTTCCCCAGTGAAACTGTTTTCCTAGTTTCAGAGCAAAACTAACTTGCTAAGAAGAAGATTAGAGCCAAGATTCCTTAAGCTTTTTGAAGTTATGCTTAACAATTTCAACTCATTTTAAAATAAACATCTACACTCTAGTGAAGATGTGCGTTAAAGATAATTGTCCAGGTATGTTATCCATATCTTTCATAGGCTTTTAAAAAGCCTGTTTATTTAACAGTAATGAAAAGATAAGCTCTAAGTTATCAGCTACTTGTTTTGATTCAAAAATTCTGTGCTTGAAGAACTGGTGGCTTTCCACTCACCTTTCATCTAAATATTTGATTAGAGAACTCTCTCTTTTGAGAGGGGAAAAAAATCCTGTACTAACTAGGCCAGACATACCTGGGATAAGTCTCAGAAAAATGATAGCTGCTAAATTTAAAAAATACCAACACTTTTTTTTAAAAATGGAAGGCAGCGAATTAAATAGAAGCCAATAAAATGAAGGGGGCATCTGGGTGGCTCAGTGGTTAAGTGTTTGCCTTCGGCTCAGGTAGTGATCCCAGGATCCTGGGATCCAGTCTCTCATCGGGCTCCCCACAGGGAGCCTGCTTCTCCCTTTGCCTATGTCTCTGCCTCCCTCTCTCTGTGTCTGTCATGAATAAATAAATAAAATCTTTTTAAAAAGCCAATGAAATGAGGTATTTAGGCTTTAAGAAATGCTCAGCATACTGTCTCAGATTGGATGGGGCCAATATCTGAGGATATTTGGCTATTGCATAAAATGACTTGCTCTCTTGGAAACACCTCCTCTCTACTGCTTTCTTGACAAACTTTGAAAATTGGGAGACTCCACAGGCCATCAAAGTAAGTTAGATTACCTGACTAAAAATAAATAGTGGGTCCCTGCCTCAAAAGGCCAAGAGAGATAAGATAAAGGTCAGAGAGAGGATGGTGCAGTGCGGTAACAGCTGGTGCATGCTGGAGTGTTGAGTAGAGGGAGTGGAAGGAACTGAACTGACATCTCCAACCTGTTCTGTGACCTTAGAAAAAAACTAGGAAAAAAAATCAATGTGTAATGTGATTCAGCAATGCAGGGAGCCTTGAGTGCAGTAAAGAGACCTAGACTCTTGATCTGGTTCTGTTGCTACTTGTAAGTCACTAGTCTTCCATGGTTTTGCTTCCTCTGGATTTAAATGATCCACGAGGTCCTTTTCCCAGCCCTAGGAATCTATGATTTGGCCTTCCCTACCGATATGAAAGCTAAAGGCTGGGGCACCTGGTTGGCTCAGTGGTTGAGGGTCTGCCTTTGGCTCAGGGCATGATCCTGGGGTCCTGGGATTGAGTCCCATGTCAGGCTTCCCACAGGGAGCCTGCTTCTTCCTCTGCCTATGTCTCTGGCTCTCTCTGTGTCTCTCATGAATAAATAAATAAAATCTTTAAAAGAAAGAAAGCCAAAGGCTTTTGAAAATTTCTTCCAAGCTGTAGCTTAGAGGACACAAAGACTAAGAGAGCAACAATTCTTTGGACCAACAGCTTCAATATCACCTGGCAACTTGTCAGCAATGCAAATTCTAGGGCTGTCCCAGACCTATTGTATCAGAAACTCTGGGGGGTGGGGCCCAGCATCTGTGTTTTAACAAACCATCCAGGTGGCTCTGCTGCAGATTCAAATTTGAGAACCACTGGAGAAGTCATGAGTTCAAGGTTGGACAGATCTACATTTGAACCCCAGTTCCATCACTTCCTAGATCAAGCAACCTTAACAAATGGCATAACCTCTCTTTACATCAGTGCCCTCATTTAAAAAAAAAAAGGAATAGTAATATCTCCAAGGGAGACCATGAAGAAGAAGAAATCATGCATTTTCAGTACTTGGTGCATGGCACACAGAAGTTTCCTATTACTCAACAATTTCTAGGTTTGTTTCTTCTTCAAGGGCTCCATTATTCAGGACTGATTTCAATATAATTTGTATAATGACAATAAAATAACAACAGCAGCTGCTCCACTATGCTCTTCACCAAACTTCCTTTATCTCCTGTACTTTATCTCCTGTGTTCCGCTCACTTGCCATACATGCTGTCATGTATGCTCTCCCACCCCACTGTCTCCCTCCCCTTTTCCTTCATCTTACCTTTCAGCTTGCACTCTTCTATCTGATTCACCACCCCAGTGTCATTCTCCTTTTCTGCTGGCCACTTATAGATGTACAAACTTGTGTGAGAAGAGCCTGCATCCAGCACAATCCCATACTGAGGGTAAAATAAATCAAGAATTCATCAGGATTACATGATGCTTCTCCATACTCAGCTTGCAACAGAAAGGAAACAAAGACAAGAGTTTTCAAAAACATAAGTATTTTAATTCAAGAGGAACATGAGGAGCAGAAAGGGGTTGCCTGCTGCTGCCCTGATCACAAGAACTACCATGACACCAATTCCCCTAGAATAGTGGCTTTTAGTGCTTGTTGCACATTAGAAATATCCAAGCCTTACCCATGGTGGGGCCTGAGCCTCAGACTGATTAGAAGCTTCCCAGGTGATTCTAATGGGCATCCAAGAACCAGAACCATATGCTGAGGCAGCTGAGATATCATGGAGGGACTAGAAAGCCATCAGCCCAGCAGTTCCCAAACTTGTGTGTGCACTGGAATCATGTCCAAATCACCTGGAGAGCCTCAAAAGCTAGTGATCTCTGTGTTCTACTCCCAGATATGTGATTTAATTGGTCTGGTATGTGGCCTGGGCTTTGGAAGGGAGACATGGAAAATACTAAGGATGCTCGCTTTTTCATTATGAATAGAACTATACGTTGTATTCAATACATTTTAAAAGATATGTATTTTTGTGTTTTGGGCTCTTGTAACTGAGGGTAGATGAAAGTAAGGATAAAGGAAAAAAGAAAGTGTGAAGAAAGAGGGGGAAAGAGGGAAAGACAGCATGAGAAAGCACCAGGTGGTCAGGGGGGAAAGGGGAAAGAGCAAAGTCCCCACATCACGTTTCTTGAGAACATTAAATGTAATGGGCAAGTGTTGCACAAAGCTTTTTCATGAGCATTATCTGACTTACCCCTCAGAATAGTGCTATAGGGTAGGTACTCTGTTTGTCCCTGCTATATAAGTGAGAAACTAAAGTTCAAAGAGGTTAAGTAATTTACTCAAGATACACAGCTCATAGGTGACAGAGCCTGGATTTGGATCAGAGTCAGATCCAAGACCTTATGCTCCATATACAGAGAAACAGGAGCAAGGGCAGAACAATAGTTCTCTCTGTTTTTTTTTTTTGTATATTTTTTTAATTGAGTTTTGATTTGCCAACATATAGTATAATGCCCAGTGCTCATCTGGTCAAGTGCCCCCCTCAGTGCCCGTCACCCAGTCACCCCCATCCCCCTGCTCACCTCCCCTTCCACTACCCCTTCAGAACAACAGTTCTTAAAGACTTTCACTGAGGGGTAACTACAGCAAAGTGCACACGTTTTAGGTGTGCATCCCAGTGCATTTTTGCATATGTGCATATCCATATATACCACACCACCAAGATCAAGATTGAAAACGTTTTCTACTCCTCAGAAGGCTTCCCAGTGCCCCCTCAGTCAGTTTCTCCTGAGGATAACCGTTGTCTTGGTTTCTAGTACCACAGGTGACTTCTGCCTATCTTTGAGCTGCAATAAAGGGACTTGCACCATGTGCCTCCTTTATGTCTAGCTTCTTTTGCTCTACATTGTCTTTTAGATGCATCCAGACTGTGTGTAGCTATAGTTCGTCCCTTTTCATTGCTGTAGAATATTTCCTATTTCATTGCATGCACTGCATTTCTATCCATTCTACTGTTGTTAGTTGAGTTTTTTCCAGTTTGGGACTATTGGGAATATATCTGCCAGGAACAATCTTGCACATGTCATTTTGTGGATACAAGCTCTCATTTCTTTTGGGTATTTACCTGGGAGTAGACTGCCAAGTGCCCTTTTTGATCATTTTATGTTCATCTTTGGTTACATCCCTAAGTTTAATCAGGAAAAATGCCAAGGTTAAATAACAATGTCTGCCATGGGCTTGTAAGGACAGCCTGATGGTACTGGTCTGTACTTTTATTTATCATCCCTATACCAGAGAGAAACATGGAGGAAAGTAAATGGGGAAGCAGAAGGAAGAGAAAAAGGAGGCACTTCTAAAATGTGAGCCAACCGCACTGACCACACTTTGCTGCTGTGGACCTTGAAGTGCAGTCTGCCTCTTGATAGTGCTTAACTCTGCAGTTGTTTTATATATGTCCTCCCATACTCTCTTATCACCTGGTAAGAACCTAAGACTTCCAGGGAGGAATGAGGACAATAATGAGAATTCAAGAGACCTCCCTAGATCACTGGGAACAGCTAAAATCTGAGTCTGCTGAGGTGTCAAGCTTTATTCTGTTTTTCCAGATTAGCAGGGAGCACCAGTGATGCAGCAGTGGGCAGGTCCTTGAAGCTCCACAACCTCCAGTGCTCTCAGCCTAGTTACACACAGCAGGACTCCCTATGGCAATGAGCATTCATTATGCCCTTAAAAAGACAAAGGCCTGTATATGCGGCAAGAAAGCAAGCTGGACAGACTCCTTTACAAGCAGGCTTGCAGTGAGAGGAAACCAAGAACTGACTTAGGTAGTGACTATCGCAGACCCATTGAAGAATGCCTGGGGTCTGGGGCCTTTGGAACCGTGGGCAGCCTCCCAATGTGGAGAGAGGTACTCAGGGGTTATACAGCAGAAAATTCTGCTGTTCCCTAGAAGGGTCTATGAATTCTTCCTGCCAGAAAATGTTCCAACCACAGCAGCATATGATAATAACTGAGGCGGCAGCAGCAAGCAGCCCTTATCTGGAATCAGGACATTCTATTCTGTCTTTGTTGACATGACAGTCATTCTTTCAGCAGAGAAAAGGAATCAGCCTTGCCTCTATCATCGTGTTTCTAGAAGGCCTTACACAGTAAGGTGGTTGAGAAATGAAAATTTTCACTACATTTGGTTTATCAAGTGTTTGAGGGGGAGGCAGTGTATACTGTAACATGGGAATTGAGGGCATTCTACCTTGTATATACAGCAGACTGGAATGCTAACCTGCTGAATTTGCCAAATATTTTTTGTCTTTGGAAATGGTTTGCAGCTTGAGAGACAGATAAAAGCTTGATGGTGTGAAAATTCTGTTTGAGCTTTTTCGAAGTTTGCCTTTCATTATTACAAAACTGTCAGTGTATTTACTCATTTTCATAGTTGGCCATCTTAGAGCTAGAAGTCCATTGCATGTAATCTTCTTATTTGATAGCTGAGAACCTGTGTCCAGTACAGCTCAAGGACTTACCTAACAAGTACAGATAGTGAAGGGCTTTGAAGACCCATCTAGAGCCTATGTAGTCACCATCTTTTGTTCTTTTTCACCACATCAGCATTTTTCGATGCATGTTCCACAAAGCACTAAGCTTATAAGGATCTAGGCAAATAAATCTTCCCAGAAGTCTGGGGAAGGCTGAGTGTTCTTTCTGTCTCCTGGCCTCACAAACCGACTAGGTAGTGAATGCTTCAGAGAGTTTGGCAGTGGAGAATTCACCTAACTTTGTTTGAGCCAGCATTCCCCAGACCCTGTGATAAGAGAATTATGTTTAAAATAAAAATCTCTACCCAACAGAAATGTTTTGACAAATGCTGTGCCTTGCACCATGCTATCACTCCTATCCAGTGTTTCTCTATAGTTCATATTTGAAGTACTTCTAAGAGTTCTGTGAGTACATTCTTCATATTAAAGAAAAATCAAAGATTTGTGTGGTGACAAAGAGATATGACATTCCCCTAACATTATTTCAATATTGCTTTCTGTTTTAAGAGTACTAAAGGTTTACTACTAAATGGCATCTAGAAAATGAAGAGGAAACAGGAAAAAAGACATCTAAGATCCTACCAACTAGACATCACTGTTACTTTGCTTTATCTCTTTCCAGTCTTTCCTAAATACATAAATTTTTATATGGCTGCAATCTTAACTGTGCATACAACTTTATCTTAAGCTAGTTTCTGGTCATGCACATGATATTAGCAATCATAACTGATCTTCATAAGCTATGTTGAGTAAACAAAGGCAGTGTTCCAGAAAAAGGAACAGTAAAAATGACTTTGCTTGGTTCATGAAGACACCAGTGTAGAGCCTTTGGTGTAGACCTGGAGATGTGGGTGGCAACAGACCCAGAGTTCACAGAGGCTGGAGGTCATGGGGAGGTGGGCCAAAACTCTCCTTAGGATGGAATTCTATCTGCACAAATGTTATTTGTGCACCAGGTCTGGGTGTCTGAGTAAATCTCCCTAGATGTAGAAAGAACTAGAAAACTTGAGTGTCAGATGATCTACTTCTATTCCTGGCTCTGCAGAAGTGGGATATTCAACCCTTTAAGTCTTCTCATTCAGAAAACACCCACCCTGACACCGGTCAGCTCTCAGTTCCCTATAAGCCATGTAGCTTCTGTTCCAAGGCCTTTGCCCAGAATGCCCTTCACCTGAGATCCCAGCCTTCTCTGACTTTCTCAGATTTGATTCTACCCTCCTCATCCATGGCTCAGAGTACCCATATTTTTGCTCTAAAGACAAGCACTTACCATGATGCATAACTACATGTCTACGTAGCTATTTGAATAACCTTCCCCATAAGGATGTGAGCTGCCTTATTAGGGCAGGTCTGTTTTGCTTACCATGGTATATCCAGCATCCACCACAGTATATCCTACCATAGGTTAGACACAAAGAAGGAATTCCACAGACAATTGTTGAATCAAATGAATGAATGGGGGGGGGGGCAGTTAGAATTGTATGGTTCCTGAACTCCTTCCAGTCCTGAGAGAACTTAATATTCATTGTCTAATATAAAGTAGTGCCATTGATATTGAGTTCCACCATCACCCCCCAAAAAAAAAAAACTCCATAAGCCAGTAAGATAATTAACTTCTATTGGTTGCTTCAGACATTGGTTCTTCAGAATCTTTTTAAAAAGTCCCTGTAGCTTTAACTCTACTTTTAGCAACATCATCAGTCCATCCATGAGTCCGTTTGAATAAACAAAGCTAATCCTTTCAAATTTAAGTCTAGTACTCTATAAACAAATCAGGTCTCCATTAGCTACAGCAAGGCTGGCAAGGCCTGTAAACAATTAAAGACCATTTTCTGCTTTTCTTTTTTCTCTAATTGGAATTACTAGACATTCAATACAAACCACAGTTTTGTTGCTATTTGTT